TTTGGCTAAAGATCGAGTGTTGATTTCTGGTTATGCAAAATTTATCTAAAAAGGTAATGTGACAGCAAAAATAAGAGGTTTCTTTTTGTTATAATTCTGCATGCAATATTCATTACCATCATTGAGAAACTTCTGGCAAAGTCTCCCTTTAGATACCATGTAAGGTAATTTGCATGGCTGAAACCTGGATCTATTTGTGAAAAAAATATCTGATACAGAACACAGTCTAAAAAGATGACTTTCCCACATGATGAATGGAAAACAAGTCAACCAGTGATTGTGATGACATTATCAGTCAGTCCAAAGTTTGAGGAAGAGGCTGCTGGAAATATTGCTTTCAAGAATTTCAGCAAGCATGAAGCCATTTGGACACTTTGTTCAATTCTTCTTTGTCTAACAACAAAGAATATCAAAAACTGAAAAGTTGTTCACAGATTGCTGGTACTCTGTCATGGACAGGTCTCAGTGGAGATGGGTTTCTCTGTCAATAAGGAAATTTTCACTGATGAAACATGAAACCTCAGACTCTGGTTGCACAGAGCATTGTCATGGACTATTTGGCCACAGTTGGGGGTGCTGGGAATGTTGATATGACTAAGGCTCTTCTCTCCAGTGCTTCCAATGCCAGAACCAATACCTTGAGGCTGAGAAGAAGCAAGTGGACAAAAATGGAAAACCATGCTTGTGGAAATTGAAGACCAAAAAACACAAGCTTGAAAGGTGTGCACATGATTTGCTCAAGTCAGCTGACAGCTAGATAGAGAAAGCTGAACAGACTCAGAACTTCACACTTTCACAAAGTTCAATGCCATGTGCAAAGGACAAATCCATAGATATCCAAATTGGAAGAGGAGCTGAATGCTAAACTAGATGAACTGTGAAAATGGTGATGTATTCTGTACCACGTGCACACCATTAGTAGGGGTAGCAAAAATGTGTAGTCTTTTTGTGAAAATTTCTATTTGTAGTTCAGTACATTAAAACAATTATATTTCACAGGAAATGTGCAACAATCAAGAATTTTTGTGACATCCATAAACCATGAATAGTCTAAATAGCTGAAATGTGTAGCAGTAAGAATCAGTGTAAAATTCAAAATTTCAAGTGTAGTAGAACTTCAAACTGTAAAATGCTACACAAAATATGTAACATAAGCAGGTCTGCAATTGGTTGTGTACTATTGGCCTTCAGTACTTTGACTTCACTTCTTTTATCTGATCCATGTGACATGGATTATTGGAACCAAATGTAGCTTTTTATTTTTTTTTTCTCACCTGTCAAACTATTAAAAGATAAATCACAAAGTTTGTGTTTTGAAGTTGATGATCATTCAATTTGTGTGTTCATGTGCCACTTTCAGTCCTTGAAACTTAATGTATTTCTTGGAAAATCCTGGGATTTCTTTTACACAGATCTGTGTGGCGCTCTTCTTGGCCAAGGAAATCAAACGTTGATTTCCCCTACAAAGGGAGACATAAGATCAATCCTTATCAGGGAACACATTTTCTTTACTAAGGTTTCTCAAATAACATGGATCCAATGTTCACTTGTGCTTAAAAATTGTTTACACTGTATAAAACAGTATGAAACTCACACATGGGAATCTTCTTTCTTTATGGAGGTGGTGGGGGGATCTGATTTAAAATCTAATTATTGAATTTCAATTAAAAAAATATTCATGAAGAACTTTACAAAAATTATGTAATTGGAATATAAAGAAAAGACAATATTCGTTAGTTTGTGTGTGTGTCCCTTTTTTTTTTTTCTTTTTTAATTACCTACACACGAAGAAAATAGGTTATTTTCATTTTTGGTCATGCATTATGTAGTGATTGTAAATTTAAATGAATTTATATTAATCAGTTTAATCCACATAATTTTTGATGTAACATAATGACTAAAACCTTAAGTACACACTCACACATGTTTCTTAATTAGTAACTCTGGTTTTAATTTCAAGACAAATAGTGCAAAATTAACTTTTTTCTTTTTTTGGAATAGTCTCCTGTAGTAGTGCTTAAAGGTTTATGCTTTTAGGTATGGACCATTAATGGGTTGATAGTGTGCAAGATGATCTTAAACCAATCTTATCTGAAAGAAATAATTATAAGATAGTAAAACATGCTTGCTTGTAGTCAGTCAACTATGCTGTGTCCAGATTCTTACTGGAATCATGTCTGCTTTTACTACCTTATAATTATTGAAGAGTTTTAGCAAGGAGCTTGTTTTAGGTACACGGTAATTAACTGGGAATCAATTATTTTTTATTAATCAAAAAGCAGAGAAAATGTACCTGAATTGGTGATTTTTTTTTTTTTTTTTTTTTTTAACTTTTATTAAAAAAAAAGTATACTCAAAGTATAAGAATAGTATAGGAAAAAATGAATTGGAAAAACAAACTTGATAGTGAAGTTTTAATTCTACAAATTCCTATTTCTCATTAATACATATCATTAGCTTTTATTTCATGAAATATGAATAAAAGTATGCTAAAATTATAAAACAGCTTCCAAAAAGTAAACCATGAGAAATTCAAACTAAGTATGCCAAACTAAAATTTTATTTTCAATATATATATATATATATATTTTAAACTTACAAAGGTTGACAAAAAAAAAAGATGGTACCAAATTTATGTTGGTAGCTTAATGAGCAACTAACTTATGACCATGGAAAGGTGTCCATAACTTTGAAGATGCATGTTTCAAATAAATGGAAAATGATAAATGTAATGTCATATATGTAGTCTTGAAATTCTGAATGGTTATTTAGTTATTTCATTATTTCAACTTCTTGCTATGATTCATAGCACAACAAAGATGAAGCTTATTTTTTTCCAGCCATACATCAATAAAAACTCTTATTTACACCATATAAAAAAAAAACAGCCAGAAGAGCAGTTTGACACTATGGCAAAAATTGGTTTTAAAAAAAAAAAAAAAGCATGACATCCTGAACTTGCCATAAAAACATATCCACTGGAGTTACATGCATGAAACTTAAAACTTTACTAATTTTTAATGAGAAATTCAGCAAAACAGAATACCTTTTGTCATAGATGTATATAATTTTGGAATATTTTGTGAAATGCAATTTTTTACTTGCAAAAAAATAAAATCAATAATGACTACAAATTTAGAAATTAATTTCATGAAATTAATCATTGGTCAGTCCTTTAAATAAATGCTTATAGTAAAGTTTTAAACTCTTATACAAAACTTAAAAAAAAAAAAACAAACTGAAATGAATAAAAATACATTTATTGAAGTTGGGGGATCTGGACAGTTGGAATGGTCCACTTGCATTTCCTTTTCTAATTTACAGTCTCAATTTGTTTATAGACCTCTGCTATAGCCATGGTGGCCTTCTTTACAAATTCAAGGGCTATGGTGTCTGGACTTGATCCAGTCATTCTTAACAAATCAGGTAATGAAGATGGTGTTGAATGGACATGCTTCTAGATCATTTCACATTAATGCAAGAGTCCCACAAGGACTCCATCCTTGGATTTTTTTTTTTTTTTTATCTACAGCAATCTCCCTGATGTCATCAGTTCCCAATTATGTATGTTGATAACACAGGTCTTTATTCTTGTCTTAACAATAAGTCTGACAGTAAAACTGGTAGCTGCTCTTGAAAATGACCTCCAATTATTAACTGGGATAATAAAGAAAAATGGCTTATAAATTTTAAGCACCTCCAAAACATAATAAACATTTTTGCCTTCTATGAACATGGCTAATGCTAACTTTCAGGTGATCAGCTCATTGTTCCTTCTTGGTACCATGTTTTCCACTGACATGAAGTGGAGTGATTATATTGAATCAATTGCTAGGTACACTTTGTTGTTTCAGACAATTTTTCTCATCAGAATACATTTTGCACATTTATAAATCTACTATTCATCTGTGCATTAAATATCTGGTCTGGTGTTCCTGCTATATATAAAGAGATCCTTGACAAAATCCAAAGTCTGCAATGTTATTGGTCCTGACCTGGCATCTCAGCTTAGGTCACTTTCCTACCACTATGCCTTTTCTACAAATATTTTCATGATAATTGATCTCCTTGGTACCTCAACTGAGTGAATTAAGAATACTACTAGATTGATAAATTTACAAAAAAAAATTTTTTGGTTGGTTTTTCTTTTCATTATTTTTTTCTTTTTTTTTATTTTGTCACCTGTCAGGTTTTATGTTGGTTTTACCAATACTACAAGGTTTTGTTGTTATATGTGCATGTGCATATAATTTCTAAAGAAATAATGATTTATTTTTAATCCAACAATTTTTGTTATTTTAATGTTATAGTGCGTACTTCATATTTGAAATAGATATCCTGGTTTTAAACTGTTTAGTAAATGAAAATAAGGCATCTGTTTAAAATCTAAAATGTCTACTTGTGTGTGTGTATTTGCCTGTGGAACTCTCTTCCAGTTCCTAGTTTCTTTTTTCACTTACATCTTTCAAAGGTTTAAATGCAACATCCATCACAATCTTTCTGATTCCTGTTCTTTTATTGTCCTTTCTCCTCACTTTGTCTTGTTTTCTTTCACTTTCAGTAACCCCTTGTATCATAGTGGCATATTTGCCTTTGGGGAAAAATAACTGTTTTCATTCTGCTGTCCAGGTCTTGGTATAATTTTTTTTTTTTTTATATATATATATATATATATATATATATTACTGCTCATTTATTGCTTGCCCCATTTCTTCTAAGTTTATACTATCCAGCTAGTGATTAAACTCACTTATTGTTTCACCAAATTCAATCACCAACTTTTTAATCCACTAGGCCTTGTTGAAATAGACTATATTACATTATCTCTTTTGTGCCTGTACATTTCTTTGTATATTATCAGAGCAGTAATAAACTGGTGGGGTGGAAATGGTGGTGCAGTCTACTTGCTAAATCATGGATAACTTTTTTTTTTTTTTTTTTTTTTTTTTTTAATAACTATTAATTCAATTACTAATTTTACATTGTTTCTTTTTCCACAGCCATGCCCCAAAGAAAAGGAAACTTGACACACCTGCATCAGTCCCTGTTAGCAAAGTTCAAAAAAAAGCTGAAAGTTCAAGCTCTGATTCCAGTTCCGATTCAGGGTAAACATTTTTGTGTCTATCTTTGCTCCTTCTCTCATACTTAACAGAATTACCACCATCAAGGAACATATCATTCCTTTTATTTATTTTTTATTATTATTACACTCTGCTGCTATTGCAAAGATACAACATGGCCCTTATTCAAGCTTTCTACCGACTGGCCAATTATTACCTGCGTTTCTATTCTTGATCTCGTTGGTGTGCAGCAAAAGCTGGGCAAGTACCTGCTACTTGCTCACAAGGTAACAAGATGAAAGACAAACACCACATTCTGTAATGATAACATGAACCCTGTTTCACATTTTATAAAATAGATGTTTTACCCAGGAATCTCCTGTTCACCTTAGTCTGTAGGTAGTTGACACTAGACAACTTCTGCCATGTGAATTTTGTCCCACTACTAACTCCTCACCCATTTACTTATTGCAATGATGCAGTAGCTGACATTATAAATGGGCTATAGTGGAAACACATGACCAGCAAATCCGTCTCCCACCATGGGGAAAACCAGAACTGAATCTAATCTCAAGCATGAGTGTTAATATAAAGTAGCACCCAGATACACCTTATTCCAGCTTAGTTGTTCCTCCTCATTCACTCCATTACTTCCGTCAAAGTAGATGTTGCTTAGAAGACCAGTTTTCAAAAGGAACCATTTGCTGTCTATCAAATAAATACTTGAGATTAAGATAAAACCACCTCTTCTTTCTACATGGATGTCCAAGCACTACACTATTATATCATTTGATAACAGCTTTTGATCTTTGTTTGGAATATGTATTAAGTTGATTGGTACATACCACAGTTTTTCTCCAGTGCAACCTTAGAATAGAATATTTCAGAAAGTAAAAATTTAGGTTACATATAAAGGTTAATTTGATCTTTCTACCCCCAAAAAAATAGAGATAATTCTGATATTTTTCTATTATAATATCAGAGGTTTGTAATTGAAGACATTTTACATTTATTTCTAAGTATAAAAATGAAAATCAATAGGAACATTTTAATGCCTTTTAAAAAAAAATTTATGGAAATTGAACTAATTTGATTAAAAAAAAAAATTCATGAAATGTTGAAAATCATTTACACCAGATTTATTTATAAGTAATAACTTTGACTTCTGCATAAGTATAGTGAAAAAAGAAAAAACATACTGGATTGTTTGTGTCTGATTCACTACTGAGATATTAGAAAGAAGTCCTCTTCTATGAGCTTGTGGCAGATCAAATGAATGATTAAAAGCAAGTACTGCTTCCAATAAAACCTTCTTAAAACATTAATTTTTCAGAATTGACTTCATTTTTGTATTAAAAAAATTTCATTTACAGGGTTTAAATTTTAAAATATGAAATATATTTAATATTGCACATTTTTGAAACAACCAAAATCTTGTTTGAAATAAGTAATTTTTTTTCTTTAAACAAAATGCCATGCATTACAATTTAATAAAAATTCTTTTCATATTAATTCTTAGTGAAATATGTTTGTGTGTTTTTGTTTTTTTTAATTCTGCTGTTTGTGTTCTAGTTCTGAAGATGAAGCTCCTCAAAAAATGCGTCCAATACCAACAACTGCCTCCTTGAAAAAAAATTCTGCCCAGGTTCCATCAAAACGGCCTCTGACAACTTCAGCCTTTTCTAACAATTCAAATGAAGTTACTTCAGCACCTGCAGCAAAAAAGCCTAATGTGGCTGTTCAGAAAAAAGCTAAGGACAGTAGCAGCTCATCAGAAAGTTCTTCAGATTCTACAGATGAAAAGAAAACACCAACTATACCAAAAACTGCTCCAGAATGTGCTTCAAAATCTAAGACAATCCTCAAAAAAGCACTACCTGCTAAAAAGGATTCTTCATCTTCTGAGACAGACAGTGATTCTGATGATTCTGATGACAATAAAAAAAAACCTGTAACAACTAAAGCTGTGCTACCTGTGAAGAAATTTCCTGTTGCAAAATCAGCACCAAATCAAACTGTTTCCGATTCTGATTCTGAAGATGATGTAGCAAGTGCCAGTAAAATGAAAGTTGCTTCCTACAAACCTGTTGCAAAAAACACTTGTTCCAAACCAACACAGAAGCAAGCAGCTTCAACTGAAGATTCTGACAGTGATTCTGAATCATCTGACAGTGAAGATAAGAATGCCAACCAAAAGATTCAGGTCAGGACATCTGTTTCTGCAAAAAAAACGGTGACCAAATCTGCAATAAAGAATGCCAAGAAAGCAGAAAGCAGTTCTGATTCTAGCAGTTCTGATTCTGAAAGTGATGATACCAAGAAAATAGCTGTGAAGCCAACTTTGACCAAACAAACTATGAAGAAACTTGTTACACATACAGCAAAAAAAGCTTCAAGCAGTTCTTCCTCCTCCTCCTCCTCCTCCTCCACTTCTGAAGAAGAAAGCCATAAAGTTCTCTCTACTCCTGCTCTTAAAACTTCAACACCAGTGGCAAAGGTTGCTGTAAAACCCATAAAAAAGATACCTGCAAAAAAAGAAGAATCAAGTTCTGACTCTTCATCTTCAGATGAAGATTCAAAGACTGCAAAACCTACTGCCAAGGTAGAAACATCAGATCCCAAACTATCAACCAATGTAATTGCACCAGTCTCTAAAGTCGCGAAAAAAACTGCTGTCTCCTCTAAATCAGCCACAAAGAAAATGGAATCTAGTTCTGATTCTTCATCTTCTGATGAGGAAGAAAACAAGAAAGCTGCTCCCAAATCTCTAACTTCAACTAAAAAGGTTGCAACCTCACTTTTAAAGAAAGACTCTAGTTCTGATTCTGATTCTAGTTTAAGTTCTGATGAGAAACCTAAGAAAGCTTCTGCTACCTCCAAAACTCCAGCCACTCTTAAGTCCCCTTTAACTCCTGCTGCTACTCCCAAAACGACTCTGGTAACAAAAAATACCAAAAAGGCATCTTCAAGCAGCTCAGAAAGTGAATGTTCATCCTCTGAAAGTGAAGCTCAAGTAAAGAAAACTCCTGTTACTGCAAAATCTAACATGGCTCAGCCTGTATCAAAAGCCGCTCTACCCAAAACTATCTCAGCAAAGAAAAATGTAAATACAAGCACTTCAGACTCTGACACTTCTACTGATGATGAAGTGGAGAAAAAACCAACACCATTTTCTCCAAAGAAAACTCCAAATATTTTAAAGAAACCAATTTCTGCTACCAAGAATAAACATGACAGTGATTCTTCATCTGAAGAGGAAAATGTAAGCAAAAAACCTACTGTAAATGTTCAGCAAAAACCTCAAGCAGCAGCAAAATCTTCAGCCAAAAAAGAAAGCAGTAGCTCAGATTCAAGTTCTGAAAATGAAGACCCAGCTCATCAATCAATTCCTTCAACACCTATAACCAAGAATGGTAAATCAGCTTTAACTGGAGCAAAAGCTAATGTTCCTTCAAATGTATCTGTGACTAATAAGACACCAACCAGAAAAAAAAGTGATACCTCTGATTCTAGTAGTTCTGATGAAGAGATCCCAGTCAGTCAAAAAAGAATTCCAACCAAGAAGTCTATGGTGCAAGCCAAACCAAAAGAGAAAGAATCAGATAGCAGTTCAGATTCAAGTTCTTCTTCTGAAGAAGAAGCTAAGGTAAAAAAGATTCCAAACAATCTAAAAACTAAAGTGCCAATTGCACCATCTAAACCAGCTCAAGCAGTTGCAGAAGAAAGCAGTTCTGACAGTGATTCAGATTCCAGTTCAGATGAAAAATCAAAAAAGATGCCACCAGTAAAAGCAACTGCTACTTTGTTAAAAAAGCAACCTCAACTTGTTGCAAAGGAAGATTCTGACAGTAGTAGTGATTCCAGTTCTGAGGAAGAAAATGGTTCTGAACAGAAACAAACCTCAAAGATGCCAGCAATACAAAAGTCTCGGATGAAAAAAGTGCAAAACAAAAAAGACTCAAGTAGTTCAGAAGAAGAAACACCTAAATCAAAGAGTACAAGTTCAAAAGATATGTTGAAAAATACAAATTCTAGAAATGCTCTAAAAAATGGTAATACTTCAAGCAAAAACATTGATTCTGGTTCAGCCAAAACTATTGCGAGCCCAAAGCCTGTGAATGGTGGACCAAACAATGAAGTGGTACGTATTTTTGCCCCAAAATTGCTTTCTTCCACCCTCTCAAAAAAAGACGATAATTCAATTTATCTAAGCAAATATTAATGCTGCAAATAATGTCATTCACTTTCTGCAGTGTATTTTTCATAACATGGTTTAAGAAAATTGACTTTCTCTGGGAAAATTAATTACAATAATAAACTCCAAAACATCTAAAAGTTGTTAGCTTAGTAATGATACATAGTATCATGTATTATGAAAGAGTGTGTGGAAGCATCGCCTAAAATTGCAGAGGTTTGATTGTGTGTAATTGTAATAGTTTGACAGTGTTTATCAATAAATTAACAGTAGCATTCTTTGGTCCATCAATTATCCAGCTGCCCATATGGACATCTACTATATAAAACTAAATTTTTTTTTTTTTTTTTTTTTACTTAAAATTTGGTGATTTCAGTCTGCAGAAACTAGTAGCTATAAATATTCAAATTCTGAAGCTGTAGATGTAAATGTGTTTGCTTTTTGTTGGTCATTTTGCTTATTAAAGGGTTTTAATTTTTAACTTAAAATTTATTGACCAATATACAGTATTTATAAGACTAGCTAAAGTTGAATTTATAAAATTCAAGTTTAGCTGATTTGGCATTATATTATTCAGTTAACCATTTTGAAAAGTACTTTTTTGTAAAATAAGAAAAAGAAACACTTGTGAAATTATAATTATTACTTTTATTTTAGTAACTTATAACACCTCCCTGACTATAACCATTCTGGCAAGTTCTCTATCAGTTGACACTAATGATCATTGTCTATTGAAGTGCATGCTTCCTGTATAGACTTTTCAATTCCTGGGTTGTATGATATTGATGCCCACTTTCATACATCTTACAAGCAAAAATCTTACAGGTTCTCAGTTGGAAGTTACTTAGTATCAATGTTGGGATTTCCATTCTTTCATCCATATGTGTGTGTGTCTTTTTTTTTTTTTTTTTTTTTTTTTTTTTGCTTATTGTTACTTTTGTGGTGCTTTTCTTGTCATTGAGGAATTTTGGTTGAGCGAATTCTTCAGCTCTCTCCACGCAGTCCATTGTGAAACAAAGCTGTAGAGAATGTTGAATCTTTGCACACTACCACAAAGTTGCTGATCACTCTTCTGGCAGCTCTAAAATCTCTTATTGTTAACTTCTCTCCTCTGGATTTTAATTCTGCAGTAGTCTGGATTTACCAATAAGTGTGGTAACTGCAATGTTTGAAGGCTAAAGTTGAGACTTTCTTTCTGTGACTCAATTCCTTTTCCTTTAGCCCTGTCTTTCTGTCCTTTCTCAAACTCAACTACCATGTAGCATAGCTGATATTTTTTTTTTTTTTTTTTTTTTTTTTAGACAAAAGTAACTAAATTTGCATAAGTTAACAATTAAAGAGGGAAGAGAAGTTTCCATTATTGGATCAGTGTAAAATTGCATAGGTGTGACATGATTTAAGGGGAACCTTCCTAAATTTACCTGTATAAGAAGTTTAATTTCTCTTAAATCTTTAGCAAAATGTTGTTTTACTGTAGTTTATAATGTAGCAACACTTTTTTTACAGTGTTTTCAAAAAAAACAAAGCAAAGTACAACAAAACAGAAGCTGACACCCAGAAAAACAATTCCCAAACAGGTAATATAATAGAAAGAATAGTCACATGCTTGCCTCACAAGTTGAAAATTCAGCTGGTCCTATGAATATACACCACATTATTTACCATTTTGTTTTAACTATCTTGTGTTGTCTTTCAACCAATTTCATAATTTCACTCTGCTGGATTTTTTTTTTTTTAATAAGATTCAGAAACCATGCTGAGTGTTGAGCTGTGGAGTGAATGTATAGTTATTCCATGTCAAGTCAACAAGGGTCTGCCCATCATTGGCACAGGTTTTTTTCAAATTTGGTACACTTATAGCACTTCATGATAGTAATTGAATGGTACCTATTTTACATCTCTACGGTCTACATCCTGGGTAAGTCAATATCCAACAGCAGGTGATCAGGTGGTTTTGAGGAGTTTGGAACCATCTCTTAATTGCTGGTATTCCCAGGTTCACCCTGATCCGGGGTGGTAGAGCCTGTTAAGGTCCTAGCTATGTGCAAACTAGGGTAAAAATAGGTTTTATTACCAGCAATACATTTTTTTTTTTTTTTTTTTTTTTTTAAATATTACCAAAAATACTTATCAAAAAAAAAATATTACCAGCAGTAAAAAATCTTGTTGCCATTAAATAACCATTAAGGTTGATATGCCATAAAACAAACTAAACCAGACAGCTCTACGTCAGGGTTTCCGAGATATGACCCTTTGATGCTTGCCACGAAGGTGAATTTTGGAAAATAGTCACAAAGTTTAAATATTAATATCTCAGTCCACAAAGCGAAATTATATGCCATTCAAAATGGCATCTTTGCACATCTGCCATTATATACTAACATTTTTATATCTCCCAATATGGTTAAGTTGTATATCTTTAGAAAGATCTTTTGAATGCTGATTACTACTCACTTAAGATCTATGAGCATAAAATCAATAGAATTTTGTGTTATTTTTGGTTAAAGTTGATAAATTGTCTGAAGAATCATAAACAAAATGGGTGTTTAAACTTTAGTCTATTTACCAAATATCAAAATAAAAGCTTTACAAATTGCCTGCTTTCTCTTTATATTGTTTAGTACTAGTTGACTGTAACTATGAACTTTGTTCTTTTAATACAGCATTTCTCATCCTTTTTACCCTTGTAGAACCCTTGAAATAGTTTGTCACAGAGAATCTCTGCATAAAAACTATTATATATCATTATTAATATCTATCTTGTTTATATTTTTATCTTAGTTCATGTGGTAAGTATAATTCATGGACACTGCCCATGTATCCTGTACTCAAGTGAGTTGTTCAATGATACATGAATCTGCCAAACATATACATGTATAGTAAAATTACAGATATAAACTGCGTCTAGAGATTATATGCAAGTTATGAATTGGTATAAAGAGTTGCGTCTTTAATGTTAAAAGTCCTATTATGATGTTGTTTAGATTCTACTCAATATTATTAACTTAGATATATAGTGATAGAGAAGTCTGTTTTTGGTTGGAAAAAAATCTTACTAAGTTAACAAAACAGACTAATTTGACTGTCAGTAGTTTATTTGCAACTATTTATTTTGATACTTTTACATTATTATACCTTGTAAAACTAATGTAAAAAAATATGAAAAGATTTTAGAACAAATTCGTCAATTTCTTAAAGGAAAAACATAAAAAAAAAAAATTTTATTTTAAAAATAAAAGATATATTTAAAAAAAATAGTAAGAACCTCCTAAAATTTATTGCACAAATGCTCCTTTCTTTTCAATAACTCTTAGCAGCCTATTGTCAACATCTGATGTTAAATTTGCAATTTTAGCAGCTGGTAAGTTGTTTGCAGCAACTTTAACTGACTCCCAGAGGTCACACTTGCTATTGAATTGCCTTTCATTAGAATAAATATCTCTCTTGATGCTCCACAGGTTCTCAATGGGATTCAAGTCACAGCTATTTGAAGGCCAGTCCATAAGAGAATCTTCAACAAATCCCTTTTCTTTCAATCAGGATTTAGTAAACTTTGAAGCATGACTTGGTGCGTTGCCTTGCATAAAGATCATAGATCTATGCTTGGCTAAAGACTAGTTATCAAGCCATTCAAAGAAATATTGCTCTAGAAAATCACCGTAACTTTTGGAATTCATTTTAACCCCGTCTTTCAGTTTAAATGGACCCACAAGCTCATTACCATTAATCCCAGCCCATATCATGATCCCCACCGCCACCTTGTTGGCGTTTAAAAAATTTTCTTGAGTCGTGTTTCTTGCAAACCCATCCTTGAACCCATCCATCGGGCCCATCAAGGGTGGTCCTTGATTCGTCTGTCAAAAGCACTTTACTGAAATCAGTTTTCATGTATTTTTTTGCCCACTGCAATCTTCTTTCTTTATGTTTTTTTGTTAAAATGGGTTTCTTTATTTGATTTTTTACATCAGCAAACTTCCTTAATGCTTTCACCTTGTTTCCCTTGACACCATAGGAGCTCCAGCGGCCTCAAATATGAACGCACTTGACGCATTTGGGTTTCTTATTAATTCTTTTTGGATATGTGATAGATCTCACTTTGTTAAATTCCTGAATTCAGCCTGAGACTTTTTTTTTTCCTTGGTTGAATTCCCATTTGACATTTTTCTTGATTGTTCGATGATCCCTTTTCAAATCCTTAGAAATTTGAGGTTTAAGACTTTCCTTTGCTAATTTCTTTGATTATATAGTTCTTTTCATTCATTTTTAGTTTTTTTTACAAGCCATAATACTAAATTCTAGTTCTTGCAAATAATCTCTTGACACTGCAAATTCCTATAATTACTGAAAAAATACTAAATATCAATCTGAAATTGAAAATTGGGACTTAATTGCTTTCATGCTTACTCACTATTCATAATAGTACAAATTATTTCATGGGATAACACATATCTATGAATTTTACGTAAAATATTTGACAATACCTCTTTTGCATATAAAACTCTAGGCGCAGTTTAAAATTAAACAAAAAATTATTAAAAAATGAATAACCTATTTATCATTGTTTCTCATGTGACCTCTTGTGGAGCCCTAGGGTTTCAGGGAATAGTGGTTGAGAAACACTGCATTAATATGCAAATATTTGCTCTTGGATATTGGTTAGTTCAGTGTTTTAGTATTAGTTTTTTTTCTATAATGTCTACTTTTCATTGTAGACTTCTATAATTGCCTTTTAATCCCATTATTTATTTTTGACTTTCAGATCAAAGGTACTCCTTTCAGAAGAGTTCAATCTGAGCATGTGGAAATTGATCCACGTTTAAGGGATAATTCCTTTGAAGCAAAGGTAAGCTGACTACTTATCATTAATAATGAAACCGGCACTTAAATTCAAATTCTGATCTTTGTTGTTGTTACATGTTTTTATATTAGTCATGTCTTTTGAATGTGTTGCCTATATTTTTGTCATATAACATGTAAACCACTGTAAAAGAAAATGTATATGAGCCATAGATTCTTCCTATTGGCTGTTATGACAGGGAAGCCATTGCTAAAATATATGGTTGTTATATAATGGATTTTTATGATACAGGGTAACAAGACTGGTAGGGCATAATTTCCTTCTTTCCAAGATTTCTTTGTAAACAAGCAGAAAAAAATTTGTTTAATCTGATATAATTTGTCACTTTGGCAATATTCATGAAAACCTTAAAGAATGATATATAAAATTACTATTTTAATCATCAGCATACTCTTTTCTTCATGCACATGGGTATTTGCATCAACATAAACATCAATTTAGTCTGAATTCCTAAAGGATGAAAACTTCTCCACTTTGTTTCATACTTTTATCACCTAAAATGTGTGTGCATGTTTAACAATAAACTTGATTATTTACAGTAGTTTATTTTATTTCATTTCATGTGATTTTTTTTTCTTTTTCTCCCTTTCATCATGTCATCAGCAAGGTGCCAAAGGTTCCTGGGGTGAACGAGCCAATGACGTCTTGAAATACACACGAGGAAAAGGGTTCCGGCATGAAAAGACTAAAAAGAAACGTGGTAGCTATAGAGGAGGAACTATCGACTCCCAAAGTGTCAATTCTATAAAATTTGCCTAAATAAGTTCCCTCTTTTTACTTACCCAACCTTCAGTTGATGCAGTTCTTTTAAATTTGTGTGAACAATATTTTTCTTTCTATTCTCTTAATTTTTACTTATTTTTTATCTACCTATTGTCATCACTAGCCTATTCATATTCGATCCAGAGAAAATTGTTTAAAAAAAAAAAAGCAAAAGTCATTTGTAGAATAATCATGAGGTTTCAGAATAAATGCTTTCTTGAATTCTTCTTCTGTGTTCATTTGTCTTTGTAAATTCTCTTGACATCACATCATCGTTTAAAAACTTTTTGCATTATCAATGTTTGAATGATTGCGACCATTTTTCTTTTCATATATAAATATCATCTTCCTAATGTAGAGTAGTCTCCCCCTCTGCTTTCCTCTGCTAATGTATTGTAATGTGGTATTATTAAGCACTATTGGTTTATAAGGTGCATAGATCTCGGCTTGGTCAGGGATGAATGTTACTCTGGCATTTGCTTAATGCCTTTCCTTAGGTGGCTGCAACTAGGACAAAAGACAAAATAGAAAAACTTGATTTGACTTACCACAACCTGCAGAATTATAAGAATCTATGTACCATGCTGTTTCTTTTCTCTCTTTGTATGAGAAAAATGCTTTTGAAATAATTACAAAAAAAATTAAATATTAGTGCCAGTTAATTATTTCCCACTACTCGTCAAAAAAATACTATATATGAAGAAAAAAAAATTACAATTGTCCAAGATGTTCAATTTTTACTAAATTGTTTAATAATTGAAGGATATTACAAATGTGTCTCAGTAATAGAAATTTAGTAACAACTGATGGGGTTTGATGTTTTGGAATGTCCATTTTGAGTTGTCACCATCACCGTTCAAAGGCAGAATTTATAAAGTTTTCAATTTGTAACTTTTAGAAAAATAAAATCTACCATCTGGAAATTAATAGATGACCTGCATATAGTACAGAAAGATAGATGCATATCATAAATGGCTACTAGCTGAGCATGAACCACCACAGAAACTAAATGTATAGAGCTGCAAATAGAATACATGAAACTGTTCTTAGATTTGAAAATGTGGATATTATTGAGTTCTTGAGGAGCCTGGCTCATAATTTACCAAATTAACTATAAAATATCAACTGCACTTGTATTCAAATGTTTTTCCAAGTATCGTTTAGACAAATTGTTTATATAGTGCAGGTTTGTCAGCACTAATCCAGTATTTATCAGCACAATTTCAGATTTCCCAAGTCACTACCCAGTCCTGCCACTGATGTTTTTGAGCATTTTCAAACACTGATAAGGTTTTCTACCTGTCTTTTGTGCATTTTTATTATAACCTGATGACATTTAGCTTCAGTCATGGCTCTAATGAATACAATAATAGTGTGAACTTTTGATGAACTTCCTTATGTAAGGCAACAATTACCTTTTATTTTACCGGTATTTCATTTAAATTTCACTTGATTTTCATTGTTTTTACTTTTTCTTTATTAACCAACATGTTAATTTACATGTTTATTTTAAAGGTAGGATAAAGTGGTTAGCTATTGGGTTACATTTATTCTAATGGTCAGTAATCCAGAAAAATAAATTATCCTATACTCTGTCAAATTAGTGATGATCTATAAACATATAACTGATCCCTCTCAGGTTGTCACTGACCAAACAAATAACTCCATGTTGTGTATCTGTTCTTGTTCATGTCAGTGTGCACAAGAACTGAGAAAAGTCCATATGTTCACAAGGAAACAAGTGATAATTAATGCCATAGAGAGAAATGAATATGACAGCGTGATGGGTACTTAGGTAACACTTGTGAAAATTTCTGGTAATTCTGTCATGACAGATGGTAAATCAGCTTTTCTATTCAACCAGCAGTTACTCTTACTCCTTCCTACCATCCACAAAGGGAATCCTGTACCCTGACAACCGCTGTCTCGAAACTACTTTCAATCCTAACTGTGTTTATATAAGCCTGCAAATGGACATTTCCAATGTCCATTCAAGTGCTATTGATCTCAGGAGTATTAATTTATTTTTCCCTTTTGGTCAAGTGAGTAGATGCATTGATTTCCTTTTGCAGACTTTACTGCTGGTTATAAAATCCACACAATGCTAACATAAAATAATTTGCCATTATATATAGGTATCCCAATTACAGCTGTAGTGTCACAGTTAACATGTACACAATTTTTTTATCTCTAAGAGGGTGGGCTGAAAAGTTCATAGGCTGATTATGAAGGTGTGATGTTAGAGTGGTAAAATCTTGCATGCATTAATTTCAACTCTTATTAATGCATTGTTTATTTCTGGGTAAGCTGACATTTGTCTTCAGAGAAGTCCTCAAAAGAGACTTCTAGAAAATGGACAAAACTTGGCATTCTGATATTAAGTACCTTCAGAAAATGAGTTCATCCCCCACAGGACATTTATGCTGACATGGTTGTTACATTAGGGGATTACACACCAGTTTTATCAGCAGTGCAAAAGTGGGCAGCTGAATTTAGTGGGTAGGTATCTTGATGACCCAATGTCTGGACATCCTGCAAACTGCTATCACTGAGGAAAACCTTGATTGTGTTTAGTACATGATGATGTATGATAGGCTATAAATCAAATAGCCAATGCCATTAGCATATCCCATGAGAGTTTAGAATATTCTGCACAATGAACTTGGTATGATGACAGTTTCTGCTCAGAGAGCTCTACATCTTCTGACACCTGATCCAGGCTGAACAAATCATGGGAAAATCTTAAACTGGAGCATATCCAGCTAGTTTCTTTGAACATTTCCTAACCTAGGATAAGTGTTGGATTCATTGCTTTCAGCTAGAGACTATCCATTCAGGGAAGGTGATGGACTCTGTCAATAAAATTTTGCATCCTCAAAAACTATCTTCAAAAGGGCCACCCCACCAATGGAAAGTACTATGCCAACTTGCTGAGGAAGTTACAAAAGGCTAGCAAGACTAAATTCCCAGGAAAACTGACAAAAGGGATTTTGTTTCATCAGGACAATACTCTAGCACACAAGACCTTGGTTTCAATGGATGCTGTGGCTTTCAATTGGTTGATCACTCTCCCTATTCTCCTGATTTGACAATCATTTGTTCTCATGGGTTATGTGCTGGCAAAAAAGGAAGGCTTGCATGAAGTAGAATATCACACAAACTTGTTATCCATCTCAATTAATTAACAATTTGCCTAGTTCCTCGAATGTTAATTAAGGTGGTGTTCTTGCTCACTGTGGCATGTGAATGACAGTTTTGTGGCTTTTGACCTGTGGATTGTTTTTATTTTAGCCACTTTTGAACTCTTAACAAAATGCCACTGAAATATAAAAAGTCAAGATGACACAAGGAAAGTTCATGAGACGAGTTGGAGCAACAAGGGTCTATGGCAGCACACAATAGGGAAATGCATATCTCATCTTAAACAAAGTGATATGACTCAACAATGTTTTTGAAAATAGGGTTAAAATAAGAAAATCACAGAAAAAATCACAGTAAACAGGATTCTTTTGAAGCTTGGTATAATTAATCAGTTTTAAAACAAGAATGCCAATCATTTCAGTTTATATGATGTTAAATATCACCTACTTTCCAATTCAAGTTCATGGTAATTTTTTTAATTCAAATTTTGCATCATTGAATTAATATTATATTTCTGTCTGCACAATGACTGGAACGTTGTCAGTACAAAAATACATGATGAGGATGTATTTTTATCTGGCATTCTCACACTGACAGAAAACCAACCAAGTTTGTTGGTATTGTGAGATGCTGCTTGAGTACACTGTGTTAGTGGTGGTAAAAGTCTTAAGTGAACGGCTGTCTGAAATGAAACCTTCCATTACAATCTCTTTTTTATGGGGACAATTAATAGCATAACATTATCTTGAGAATGTTTTTATTTTAGATTATATTTTGGATCTTAATTTCAAGTGACTACTCGCTTAAAATTCAAAATGTTCACATCTGTTATTTTGTTGGATTTGTCATCTTTATAAAAGTAAATGTGTATCTACTAAGCAAGCAACACAATGTTCTAGGGCTCCATAGGAAAGTGGTTCCACACATCATTTGAGTGATACCCTTGAACAGCAGGGCAATGTCAGCATCATAGGTCACAATACCTTTGCTTTGTAAACGACATAGATGGTCTGGCTGGGGAAGAACATTGATAAAAAATCTTTCAGATATGGTATAGAAATTAATGCTTAAAAAAATTGAAAATGAGAAAAAGCTTTCAGGTAAGATAAGTTGATGGCCAGGAACTTAAAGTAGTGAGATAATTCAAATACCTTTGATCAGTTATCAGCCAAGAGGATTCTAGAATAAAAATAATTACAAGAGCAGCACAAACTATCAGTTGTTGCAAAACTAAGAACATCTGCCTGAAATAAAAAAATGAGACTGTTGCATGTATTGGCCTTCTCAATCTTTGTTAACCATTGACTCAATGTTGAAGGTGAATAATCCAAGCATTAGAAATGAGATGCTACATCTATGTAAACCCATTGGAAGATTTCATAACTGTTGTCATGAAGAGAAAGTTAAAATGATATGGACACATAAGAACCAACAATTTTTCAGCTACCATCCTACATGGTATCAACTGAAAGAAAAGAAGAGGTGGCTGACACTGAGTAGACTAGAAGATCATTCAAAGAGTCAGACATTGACATGCAACCATCACATCCAGTCATGAGACTGACGATGATCTATCAAACATTTATCAGCAAGAATCATAATCTGACAAAAATGAACAAGAAATGTTTACTTAAATTATACAATATTTATGCTGTAATTTTAATTCATACTCAAGCATTAAAAATATTTAATATATTTGTTGTTCTATAAAAAAAAGAGGTGTTTCTGTTTAACAAGTCTTAAGTAACTGAAATTGTGAAACAAGCTTGTCTGTTCTACAAATGTTCTATAAATTAATCTCAGGTGGATTTGAAACAAAACAAAATAAAATCCCTTTTATATTTTTGAGATGAGGT